GCTTTCCTTCCTTGGTCTTCCACACGACGAAGAAGTTGCTCGCGCCTGCCTCGGTGATGGTGCAGTCGTCGCCGAAGAGCCAGAGGATCTGGTGGTATCCCCGCTTTCTCGCTTCGCCTTGGGCAACCAGCGAGGGACCGTAGTTGGCACCAACTTTGGCGTAGCCGAAACCACCGGGCCATGCACGGCACATGTCGTCTTGGGAGGCGAGCAACTTGATACCACCACTCATGTCGCCCATGGGTGCGAAGCAGCATAGGATGACGAACAGAAGAGCCTCTTTCGGTCGCTCAACACCGAGAGCGGGGTCGGAAGCAATCATGGTGGGACGAATGTAGAGGAACTGTCCTGGTCGGTCCTTGGGGAGCCATTTGGCACCATCGGTGGCACAAAGCTTGACAATGAGCTTGAGGAGTTCCTCAGGGTCGAATGCGGGGAGAGCGATACGGTTTGTGGACATGAGCATGCGGCGGCAGTTCAGGTCTGGGCGGAAAAGACGAAGTTTGCCGTCGTATCCGCGGTATAGCTTCATGCCTTCAAAACATTCGGTTGCGTAGTGCAGGCATGAGGCTGTGGGCGCGAGAGACAGCGGGCCGTAGGGCTTCAGCTCAGGTGCTGCCCAGCCGGACTCGACATTCCATTGAGCTTGCACCATGTGGTCGGTGCAGACCTTCTGGCTGGCCATCTCTGCTGAGCCTACAGCGGGGACGGAGCGCGGGGTGCTGGTGTATGTGCAAGAAACCTTGGAGGCATCGAGTTCAGCGAGAGGTGCGTCGACGACATCTTGGCTTTTGCTTGCGGGCTCGTTTGGTGGTGTGGCAGTGATGGAGTTTGTGAGCGATGCAGAGTCGATTTGTGCTGGGGCGTTCTTGAGAAGCGCAGATTTGATGCCGTCCTGGGTGAGTTCGGTAACAGTCTCGATATGGTTCGGGGGTGTGACGGCGCTGGGTGCCATGATTGCTGTGTGTGAGATAAGGTAGTCGTTAAGCTGGCAATTGAGATAGCAACGGGTAGACACAGAATCTACGATTGCTTCTGCAGGGTAGGGGAAGTAAGTAGTTCAATGTGGAATGAGAAGACGGGTGCCCTGACGTGTTCTTATACAAAGGCCTTGAAAAAATTCGGTCAAGAGTCACACGCGTCCCTATCACACGCGCGGGAGCAAACCCACCTACCCGAACGATCCATCGATGTAATGTCTGCCCAGCCGCCTGCGGATTACGGCGGCGGTCTAGTGTGTTCCCTTCAAGAATGCAAAGATAAAGGGTTCCACTTGCAGCCGATTTAGACCCTCTCTCCAGAGAAACCAGTTTGGAGACTGATTGCGCCCATTTGCCTCTTCCTTCTATGACATCAAACGTCTTTCTCGTTGGTTGGACATCACACAAGCAATTTGCCGTCGAAGAGTACGCCGAGAGACGCGTCTTCCAGAAGCCATCGAAGCCGGGGTCGTGACGTTAGCGTACCTGAGGACTAAGGATGCGCATGGCGGGCGTAGGGCGTGTGTGCCGAGCCTGCGGTATCCTTGTACCTACCGCTAGTATCCGCGACCAGTTCGCGCGTCCGATCCCCGGACATGGAGATGGGGGATTGTATAACATAGCGGTGCAATATCGGGCCTGTTTCAATGTCGGGGTAGTACGAGTGATGATGCGTAGTACCTGCGATGTCGGACTGAACTTCCAGAAGCATGAAGTTGGAGTCTCGTGGGAGAGGGCGAAGTAGCTCGGTAATCAGCGGTACAAGCGATGGGGAACTTCACCGCAGGGAAAAAAATGCTCAAGTGACCTTTTCAAAACAACAGGGTATCATATTCTGCGACGGCCATGCCGATTGCAGTCTTTTCAATGGCGCTATCTACCGAGGCCCCGTCACGATGCCTGCACGTACTTCTGTAGGTTTCCGTACATAGCCCGCCACCACCTCTATCCGTCGCAAAGTGAACTTCACGATGCCGGAGATGACGACGGATCGCTGACCTGACTCGCCGCCAATGTCTGGCTTGCCCTCAAACTATCGATGCCCTTCATGATGCCATCTGCAACCTCGCCAACTCGTCCTTCAAGCGTGCTGAAGTCCATTCTGCTGATTGCAGCATTGATTTGTTCCGTTACAAGTTCGTCCTGTACGACCTCCGCTGTAACCTTGCCCTCCGTTCTCCAGTACTCTTCGCGCACGCCTCGCAACGCTGGATCGCGGTTTACCGAGTTTGTAAGCAGAGCAAGCGCGCGCATCTTGTTGAAGGTGTCTTCGGACGTTCGTGTGGTTGCTTCGATGCGTTCGGCGATGGAAACAGGCTTGGCGAGCCAGCGGTTCGTGCTTGTAGCCCAGAGGACAAATGCGAAAGCCATGTCAACCACTGCGAAGGTGACGTAGCGTAGAAACCGAACACGCCAGTAGGCCGAATCGATGTCTTGCACATACTGTGCGCGCTTGTTGAGCGTGATATCGTACGTGCCCATGTACCACACTTCCACCACCATCATGAGCAGTCCCACAATCGTTGCGTGTGTGCGGAACCGCGAGCCTTCGCTTCCCACAAGCGATGATGTCGCGAGACCAAGAACCCCTAGTTGAAAGATGTGCGACGTGACTATCTTGGGGAGCGAATATAGGAAGTGGTTTTGCTGGTCGTTTCCGTTGGCGGTGGTGCACCAGACACAGTTCAACAGCGTGTCCGGGCCATATGCCAGGTACAGCAGTTTGTTGCGCACACTTGAGGTGAACTTTGTCCGCAAGGCATCGTCCTCGTCTGTGAGCGGCCGGAGGTGCCGTAGCCGCGCAAACAAGACACTCGTCTCGGTTCGTATGTGGCTCTGTGTCTTGAGGAATATGTTGTCCGGTGCGAAGCGCGACAAGGAAAGAATGAGGCACGCGACAGCGCTCGCGAAGAGCGAGTTCAGCGCCTGCTGGACTCTCGGGGGCGTCGGCCGTATCGGTACGCTTCGTCCGGTTGCGCGCGCGAGGTTGACCCAGTCGAGGACGCGGGGAATGAGGAAGGGCCCGAAGATGATGAGGATCGAGTGCACATTCTGGGGGAGAAACGTCAGGCGCGGAATGACGACGTAGGACACTACCAGCAGCACAATCGAGCGCACGTTGAACATTGTGGGTTTCGCGTTATCATGAGCGAGTCGGCGAGGGCTGTGGTGTCGCTGAGGACATGTGTCCTCGCACTCGACCAAACGTGTGGGTGACGTGTGCCCAGGTGAACGTCGGCGGAACTGAAGCGCGATCACACGTGTTAACGCGCTAGTATTGAAACCCCAACTCCCACATGAATGTCAGACCTCAATACTCACTCGACCCAGAATTGTACAGCTTCACATTTGATTCTCCGCAGACTTTTCCTAGTAATCAAATCTGTCGTCACGCTTATGCAAGTTCGATCAAAGACTGACAGTTTCACAGCCTTACAACACGTCCGTTGTGATGGCTTGGATGACTTTGAGGGATACATTACAGGCAATATTCCTGTCTCCCTGATCTCTTCGCTATTGCGTTGTTTGTATCTATACTAGTAGCCATATATCGCTGAGAATGACCGATCGCCTCCCAAAAACGCAGGAGCAGGCTGCCAGCATAGATCAACTCTCTATCGAAGATATGCCGGTAGCTCACGAAGACGACATCCCAGACATCTGGCCCATCGAATGGAGAACAACCAAGCTCGACTCCGCACTCGGCCTTTTCCACTTAGCACAGTGCGACAAGGCCCTCGACGAGAGCGCATGGGACGATCTTGTGGTGAACTGGACAAGCGAAGATATGGCGGCTGTCGAAGCGCTCTTTCCAAGGAGAACATGGCCCGAGATGTTACCGTATCCAAATCTAGTTGCGTATGCACGATACGTTAACGGATATTAGACTTCTCCCTGGAGAAGTTGGCTCCGGATCCCGTATGTTCTAGCTGTAGCCTGGCAGAAGGGTGTTGTAACAGCTTCGTTGAAGAAATCAAATTATCCACTGCTAAGAGATGATAGCTATGTACCGGGATTCGAATATGCTCCTTCTACACACTCGTAAATAGCTCACAAATGTGTCCATCTCACATGTGTCCTTCCTCCACAAATCTTCCCTGTATGGGTCTCCTATTGTCTCTCCCGGGAGATCCATGTGTTGGTGACTGAGCATAGAAATGCGCTGGAGTGTGCGTAGTGCTGATGTTGCGGGGTTGTTCGTCGCCACTATATTGAGTCCCTGTCGGACTTCCTTGGTTGTCGGGGAACAAAGGTGGAGAGTATTGCGCACGCGTCGATGGATCGCTGGGTCGTGGGTAGTAGATTGGAACCTGCTGTTGAGGCGCATCACTTGGAGACTGTCGTGCTGTGGTTGGAGTGGGATACAAATGTTGGCCGTCTTGGCTCAGTGCAGAATGAGGATATTGAACCTGGGTGCTCCAAGGACCTGGCGGAGAGTTGCGAACGTCGTCGGTAAAGAATTGCTCTCCATGTGGTGACCGACCTGTGTGCCCGCCTTCAACAGGAGATATGTATGGGGGAGCGTGACCGTACGAGGGAGGGCCTTGAGCCGAGTAGGGCGAGTTGTATTCGTGGCTAGCGGAGTGTGAGTGTTGTTGAACATGACCAGGATAATGAGCAAGGGCGATAGAACCTGCCTGGTCATGCATGGAAACATACTTGCTAGCATCTGTGTCGGCCATTTCATGGGGAACCGTGGTGGCAAGTTCAGCAGGTGGGAGACTAGATGGAGTCTCGGCCTCTTTCTTCTTCAAAGACTTCTTTCGCCGGTGTAAGCAGAAGAGTATAAGACACAGAAGGACAATTAGTGCCACCAGGCCTCCAACTGTGCCGCCAGCGATGGCTGCTACGTTTGACTTCTTTGAGCTTCCACCAGATGCTGACTCTGTAGCTGAGGGAAGAGAGCGAGTTGCCGATCTTGCCGTGAAAGTAGGTTTGAGTGTATAGTATGTAGCGAGATCTGGATGGCCCCAGGTTGCTGGCGAAGTCTTTGTAGCACCTCCGGTAGGCCTGTTCTTATTAGCTGTGACAACTTTTGATATGGACCGTAAAGACGTACCCGCCTCCAACTGCGGCAATAATAGGTGAAGGTACTACGTAGTCGTCTAGCTGAGGGCTAAACTTGTCCCAAAGCTTCGAGTCCCCACCGTTGTATCCTAGAACCATGTTGTGTTGTCCTTGTCCCTCGGGTGCATCGCATTTGTCGTAGAGGGGAAACCAGCCACCTATGACTAACATCTGCGCATGGTTGACGACGTTTGCGCTACAACCGCCGTGACCAACTTGAGAGGGAACATCATCACTGCTGAAGACCTTAATCCATGTGAATGATGGAAGCGATAGGATGTAGACGTCGTCGTACGCTGCTGCTTTTTCGAAGCCGTATCCACCATATAGGTATCTGTTGCGCGTCAGCATAACTCGATCAACATAGCACACTTTGTACACTAAGTCTACAGACGATACTGCAACAGTGGCAGCGTGGCATATCCCAGCGACCTCTTAGATTCTGAGCAATCTTGGAAAATCTTGGGCTCCGATGACCTTTCTTTTGTTTGTATATCGACGATCTCCAGAGCCGGCTTCAGATGTTCTACAGCTGTACTACCAGAAAGATTTTCTTACATGTTGAAAGACGACTGGTCATCAGGCCAGGTGACATCAGCACAGAATTGCCTCCGTGTGTCAGGTATATCGCCGGAAGCAGTCTGTGTATACCATTTCGATGAAGCCATGTCGTAGACATGTATGGTCTAGATGGATTAGCTGTGCCAAACATAACAGCTCTCTCGATGACATACACTCATGTTTGCCTGATACGACTAATTAGCAAGGAGACTTAGCTGGGGTTTCATCTGCACCTACTGCGTCAAAGCTACCGTTGCGGTACGAGTCTTCGATGCCACCGAAATAAACAAGCACGCCGCTATCTGAGACAGGTAGAAATACTAGTTGTCCTTCAGCTCTCCCAATATCATCTGGACCGGTCGTATTCTGCAAGTCGCCGGTAGACATGTCGAATCGCATCAGACCGGTCGTAGCCATTGGGGGTCCAGTCCAACCAGGTGTTGTTTTGTTGCTGAGCCAGCCGCCAAAGTAAAATCCCAGCCCACGACTTTCGACTTGCGTTCCTGCGCCATACGATACTCGTTGCGGATTCTTTTCGCCAATTGTTTCAGTAGTATTCCATTGGTTGAGAAGAACATCGTAGGTCCACATGCTGACATCCATGGGGCTAGTGCCTGGGGCAAATTCCCCGCCGAATTGATAGAAGCATTTGTTCGTTTCATCTGCCCAAGTATAGCCGCCTGAAACGGTAGGTATATGACCGGGCTTTGAGTATGCGGACTGCATTGGCATTCCCGCATCGACGGTCGAAGTGTTCAAATCACTGAACAAAAGCCAATCATCTAGGGGTCGATAGTTAGACAGCTGAAACAGAGTCTATCAATACTTCAGCCTTCACTTACTTGAGTAGTTTGACCTGAAAGGGACTTGTCCTATCATGCCGCCATCGATGTATAGCCTTGAGTCGACCTGCGCCGTTGAGTGGCCCCATCGTCGACAGAATCCTTTGACGGGATCATCCTGCTGTGATGACGACTGGGTGATTAGGCTAAGTAGAACAAGCACGCCTGGAAGATTGAAGGCCATGATATGCATTCATGACGTTCCTGAACATGCACACGTGAGACGCAGGAAATGCGAGAAGTCTGTATTTCGAAGCAATGACAGCTGTAGGATGCCGTAGAAAGAGGGGCGGGCCGCAGACGTTAGAGTGGAGATGTGTAGGCCTGTGATTGTGCTTCACAGAAGGCACCAGGAGCGTGTAGGTGGAAGGTCCGCGATTGTCGTTCGTGGCGCACTTCGTTGGGATGCAATCCGGTTTACCGATCTGACTGCATCGTAATATTGCTAGGCGACCCTCTTGTCAGCCATACAAGCAGCGGTGGGACGCAGGTCGCCAATGGAGTCACAGCATAGGAAACACGAGTGATCTGCAGGCCCGACAGAGGCGTCTGACCGAAGAAAGACATAGGTCTGGGTTAGAGTCAGCGAAAATGCGGCGCCGACCTGCCAAGTGTGCCCTGCTGCGACGAATACCGCGTGTGGCATGGACGACCGAATCAAAGCAACAGGTTGAGAAAATGCTGTTATTGGGACCAGTGGTCTGGCGTCGTACTCAGGCTGAATCCGAAGCCGCTTCTCAGCCGCTCTCTTGTCCGCCAATCCAAAGCTGCGTATCTCGCTTCTTGTGGAGTGACACAGGGTGGAGGCGCGGGGAGTCTTTCAGCTGGGTGTTCCAGCATTACTCGTAGCCATTGACCCCAACAGTCTAGGTCCGCACGACAACGAACTTCAGCAGCAAACCAATCACTACGAATGGTTGGTTCCTTTTCCAGCTCCATGCAGCTTATGGTTACCAGTAGGTGGGGGCGGACCTAGATACCGGTGACGGGTCAACGCATATAGGCCCCAACGCCACGCATAATAATCATCAGGGAATTATCTCCGCCATGAAATCTACATCTCTTCATCACGGCGGCGTCGACATCAGGGTCACAAGGCCCCTGAGATTGGTGCGCACCGAAGTATGTTGGCCTAAAGCGAACCCGCAACCCCAAAACCGACCGAAGTCGACGTGGACGAGTTGCAGGATTAGAACGGCTGTGCATTTCTTCTGGGTCTGCTCTGGAAAAGGCAAATCCATTCGTAAAGGAAGGACCTTAGGGTTATTGGAGACCGTTGACAATATGTGAAGAAAAGAAAAGCAGGAGCTTCGCGGAGAAAATTGAATGGCACAAATAATCTGCTTGGCGCGCTAGCGGCATACCTAGCTCGCAATTCCCGTCCGTCTTCGCGTCATGACCTCGGGCGGGTTTGGCCAACAACACACCTCATCATCATTATGTACACTCCGCGGGAGATACTTCATATCACATCTTGATTTGTACAAAGGGCCATCATGTTCCAGTATCTTCTTAGAGTATTGCGTGTCTTGCTCGCGTCAACCAAGGTTCTCCATGCACCCCAAGAAAAATCACTAGTCGAACCATAATACCAATGATGCAAGTGAACAGATAATCATCGATAGCATGTATAAAGGCTTTCCGATATCGCAAGGGTACTGTCGTCTTTCCTTAAGAATCGTTCAGGATGTCTTTCTACACAGATCCTCAGCCAGGTCAGATCTTCGCAGGTCGACATCAATCCAGCTTCCACATGCAATCGGCCCAGGAAGGCGCGAGTCATCACGCCATGATATTCGGAGATTCTAATCAGCAACTCCGGAGATCTTCCCGAGATGATACGACGGTGCTGCCCTTATGTTGCGCCCCTAAAGCACCCTCAGTCAATACCTTCATGCCACGACCAGGACCCTACGGTACACCATGGTTTTCATCTGAAGAGACCCTATGGTCACTGGGGCTAATCGAGCATGGTAGATTCAACAAGCCTGATACAGTCCTCTTGGCCTTCATCGTGGACTGCGCGATGAAGCTGTACATATGCGCCAGCATCACCCTGGACTGTCTAGAAAGCTTGACGGATTCGGACCTGGTGCACGCTATCATTGAAGCAGCCTACATCAATGTCCTCGGACAGATACAGCGCGCTGACTTGATGAGCCGCCAAGCGCTCGCTTTCGGGAGATTTTACCTGAAGGCCATGGCAGACTTTGGAAAAATTCGGGAACGCTGCGACATCACGTTTGGGCAATATATCCAACATCAACAGACTCGGGACGATTTCGCAGCGAGATTCCTCATTTACGATAGTTATGGGGATGATGACCTTGGAATAATTGAAAATGCTTTCAAGTGGGTATACGGACAGTCGCCCTCCGCAGTCGTCAACTACATGGAAGAGAACATTACAGAGGACTCGTCTGGTCGCGATCCTATCTCGATACGACAGTGGGTCTTCGGATTCAACTGAGAATCCTCGGTAACGCAATTGAGGCCTCGTTCATACAAACCGTAGCCTTTCATCGACGAAGGGCTACGGTTGGAATTCGGTATGTTGTTAGTAATCGTCTGGTAATTAACCATGAGCAGCTCTTTTATTGACATTTGAAGGTGAGGGAGTTGACATGGCAGATGGCATGTCAAGACATGGGACGAGTACCGTCAAGTTGGTTGATGTTGGCACAGAATCGGGACGGTGATCAGGTGGGAGGAGGAGGAATAGGTATCATACAAAAGTTATTTGAACAAGAAGAAAGAAGAGGCGTACGAACAATCGAAAAGAACAATACAAAAGCTTGTTTGACTCTATTCGTTTGGCAATTAAATTATTAAGAAACGCCTTCCCACAATGCTTAGTATTGGTCCAGTCCCAGACCCCCAGCCCACAGAAGCCAATATAGCGCCTCCGACTTTGATTGACCATTATGACCCACGCCAACCTAGGAAAAACTTGAACAGCCTGGAGCCTACATTGGCGCTGGGTCACCGCCTTTGCAAGGCCTTGGCTTAATGTAGCCTGCAGACCTGTTCAGTTTTTTTCTTGTATGAGGTGGACCCATTGTGCTACGACTGTCCTTTGCCCACCGTCTACTTTCAATGCAAGTTTTCAAGTGCCGGTATACAGTTTTGGCCATTTGCCCAAATAACAAAATCCCTGTTCTGTCTACCCTGACTGCATGGCTTTGGTCAAGGCCAAACGCTTGCTGTATGGGCTCAGGCTGCGCTCTCTTTGTGAGGGTGGGGGTGCTTGCGCTGGCGGCGGCGCAACTCTGCTGTTCGCGACGGTTGCCCGATCGTCGAAACGGTTTCTTGCCGGTCCACGCGGACTGTCACGGGCCCGTCCTCCATTGCTTGCCTCGTGTGGGCTACGCGATCGGCGTACAGGCTTGCGCTTGGAGTAGGGACTCGGGCTGCGATCGCGACTGCTATGGTATGGCGAGAGTGACCTGGAAGGCTCACGATGTACTGAATGCGAGACGCTTGGCTGGCCTCTTGGTGCTCCGTTTGGTGGGTTACGCTCGTCTGACGTATCCATGGGATCTGCGCTCCCCGACCGCGATCTTGAGACTGACCGTCGAGCTGGTCGCCGCCTGTCTCTTCTTGCACTCCTGCTCCGCGACCTGTTGTTATCACTCATGCTTCGCGGCGCTCTTCCCCTGGCATTCTCATGTGATATCTGCATGCGCGCTGACCTGGATCTTGACTTGGATCTGGTTCTTCGGCGGCCTCGCTCACCAGGACTGAAGGAGCTCATGCGCCGCCGTGTGTTCCTGTCTGCAGTGTCGGATGCGCGTGAGGAGCGCGAGTCCATGGAGACCGAGCGCCTGCTACGCTTCCGCAGCGCTTTGTCGTGGTCCCCATGATGTCTTCGTCCGTTGTGCTTGTGTCGTGGGGGAGATCGCGAGCGGGAACGGGAGCGGTTGGTCGAGATGGTCGAGACAGAGTCGGCAGACGACGTAGAGAGTGAGCGCGCGCGCTTGCGATCCTCTTCCTTCTTCTTCAAAATCTCATCGGCGACGCCCTTCTTGCGCAGCAGGTCTTCGGGTACCTCGGTGGTGAGTTTAGGCTGCAGTTTGGGGTTGAGTAGTTGCTGTGTCCGAGAAGGTCGAGACTTGTACGGGCGTTCCTGTGCGGGCGCCTTGCACTCGTAGCTGTAGTGTCCTCTCTTCAAGCACTTCTGGCAAAGAGTATCTGCGGAAGCCTTGGAGCGGCCTGCACCCGGGCGACGGAACATGACGGACTTGGATGCGGTACACGTCGAATCCAAAGGGTGTTTGTTGGCGAAGTCCTTTGGTATTGCTCGTGGGAATGGAGGGAAAGGAGCACGACGCGACTCTTGCGTCAGAGCAGCAGCCGGTAAAGACGCAATCAAGCCTCGCCAAGTTCAATCTTCTTCTGTCACTTTCGGCGAGGAAACGCGACGGGCCTTGGTCGCATGCGGTAAGGCGCAGCTTCAGCTTGGCCGGAGAATTGGGCGGAGCGGCATGACTAAGCCCGCCCACGGGCGGCTTCCATCATCGCTTCTCTATCCTTCACTCGCCTTGCGCTGCACCCCGCATACCAGCCCGGTCCCCGCCCGCCCTGTACTGCTCCCCGTCGACGACCCAATTCACCCGTCGTCTCTTGTCTCGCGCCCTGTGTCTGGGTGCTTGGCAGCTTCTTACACGCTAGACGTCCAAACTACGTCGTTGCAGGCCTGTCGTCAAGGCTACTTCACCTTGGCTCCCAGCAAACCCATACACCTCTACACTTTTCCCACGA